CACACACACACACACACACACACACACACACACACACACACACACACACACACACACACATACAAAGATAGGCCTATGCTGTATATATAGCTGATGAGTAATCCTGATGCTGATGTTATTTCCGTTTCATTAACCTGTAATAAATTAAACACTGAATGAAAATGAGCAACAGGGACTTTTCCAACTCTCCAGTGCCCTACTTGCATAGAGTACACACACGCTAATTTAGGCGGGACAGCTGGATGTCACTAAACAATAATCACTCGTGTTTGACAATTTTAGACAAAGTACAATAAAACGCGCATTTAATTGAGTTCTAAATTAGACTAATCTTTCTTTCCTCTATTTAGATGAAAGTAGAGAAGAGATGTTTTTATGTTAAAGAGAATTAGAAAAAAATGTGTGAAACAGCTTTTTTAACAGGGATTTCATCGCCTGGGTAATTGTTGATAACGTCAGATTCTGCATACGTATCTAAAAATACAGAAACAATGTAACAAAAAAGTATAACTCGACAAAAACAATTTAAAAAACGAGAAATTTTTTTAATGTTGTTATCAGATCTTTTATGATTTCCACGATATTTGCAGCTTCCTCTCCAACTTCATTCATTTAAAGTCCTTATTTGCATTAAAAGCTGCGCTACAATCGACTTTGAACAGGCGACGTTGATTCGGGTGCACGTCAGGTAGGATGAGGGGCCCCCTGCACTTTGCATTCAATTAACGAAACGTGACAAGAAGAAGACGAATATTTCGAAGTGAGTGTGGTGGGGATAGATCGTTCTTTGGACTCCGTAGTCAGTGTGTGTAATTAAAAAAATAAAGACCTGCTTTATGGACAATGTCCAACGCAGAGCCCGTATATTTGTTCTGGATGACGCCACTCCGCCTACCTTTCTAACTGTAGGATTTCATACTTTACTGACTAGGGCATTAGGCAACATGTTGATTAATTTCGCCTCTTTTACTTTTTCTGGTTTTATTTACATTTAGTGTTTCGACTGTTTGACCCTCACTGAACTGCCTTAATAATGTATCTACCCGCATCATTTTTATTTTATTTTAATATAGCCTATGTTTATTTATTTATTGGTTTAGTTTTGGGCATCTGTTTCACTGAATGAGGTGCGAGGCCAAAATGTTCAGTGCTTTGTGTCGCAATATATCAAAACACAAAATATTAAATACACTGTCCTAAACACACTGTCCTAAACACTTATACACATATTACAACATATTAATTGCGCGAAATTTCACAATACTACTGCTACTACTACTAATAATAATAATAAATTTGCGGATATTTAGGAGATACAGAATTTACAAGATATTATTTTCCTGGCGTGGGTCCTGTAAATGAAAATCTGGTTAGTTAATCGATGGAGGACAAACAACACATGCTTTTAGTGAACTATAAGTTTCATTCATTCTCTGTGGGGGTTTTTTTGTTTGTTTTTTTGTTTGTTTTTTGCTTTTACAACTGCCGTTTCACACCCTAACATTATTTTTTCTATTTTTTTTCTTACCGCAGTTTAGAGTAACTACATTTTTCGAACAAGATTACTAAAAATACACAGCCTTATATTAATTTTACTAAAACATACGCACTACCAAAGGTAACGACCATGACCACTGTAAGCTGCCGTTTAGAACGAACATCGGTATTTGGCACTCTGCGATGAGAAGGTGTTAAAGAAGCCTATTCTGCATGCCAGACATTATCACGTGTGTCCTAGACGTCCACAGGGGCTACAGTAACTACCGTTTAATATACACACATTGTACAAAGTAAAAAAATCTCAAAGCATATTGTGTTCCATACGGTTAAATGGTGAGCAGTGGGCATCATTTTCACTGGATATATTTATTTGATACATTAATTAAAATACACCAGTCCTTTGTGGTTTCTGCCATCAAGGATGTTTTGCCTCATTTAAAGACTTGCATCAGCTTGCTCTACATTTGTTTTGCACAAAAGTACTTCATGCAAATTTAGTTTGGTTACCACTGAACCTGGTCAATTCACCAGCTAAGTAACTGATCTGTACACATCATAATCACAAACCATCCAAAACTGATCAGAATAGTTTTTTCAAAGCAGGCCTGTCAACATAATGGTAACTACATTTACACATCTTATATTTATAATATAGCTATTTCTCGGGACTGTACTATTGCATTGCAAAGCTAGTCACGATTTATGCCTCATATATGAGGCTACAGATCCTTTTGAAGAGCAGCTTTCACAAAAAGATCAGCCAATCAGTAAACCACACCTCTGGTGCAGTTTCCTCACTTGCTGCCTATAATGCCTTCTGTCTTCTCCTACAACAGCTGCAGATGTATTGAACCTCAGCTGATTAAGGCAGCAGGCCAAGGTTAGAAACAAGAGAGTGGTGGTGGATTTGTTTGTGTGATACTTTCATGATTTGGCTGTTGTTTAGTCCAGGGATTTTTTCCATGCTTCTACAGAAGGACCAGCTTTTGTCCTTGTGAATTTCAATATTGTTTGAGGCAATGAAGTGGGGGCATCATAAGTTGCTTATTTTGATATGAATATGTATGCTTTTGCAAAATGACTTACAGATCTACATTTTTTGACAGTGTATGCTTTAGTTTGGAAAGTATTCAGGAAATATAAGGGATATTTGCTATACTTTTATCATGTGAAAGCAACACAAATGCTCACAATGTAAAGTATTTTGAAGATGTGAACCACGCATTATTGTCACTTTCCTTAAACAAGGCTTTTCTAATCAATGCCCGTCGGCTAATCTAAATGTCAAAATTGGATACATTTTAAGTTACTACAGTGAGACCATTAAAAAGAAAAATCTGGTCATGTTTTCACTGAAGGCACATAGTGAGATGTTCTCATAATAAGTGAATGCTCAATGAAAGTGATTAGACACATTCTGTATATTTATTAGACAATAACTTGTCACCTCATACTGTTTTTAAAATATAGTAGCAGAATGGGTTGAAATTACTCCTCACTATTTAAAAAGACATCCATCAGTTGGAAAAAAAAAGCATATTTCATAAGTTGCTACTTCCACTGTGTGACTATACTATGAGACTGCTGCTAATATTATTACTACCACTGATTATTGGTAATTGATAATTTTTTCATCCATTAAAAACGATCTAATAAACCATTCTTGATTGTTCTTTTAGGGTCCAAAAGAGGGCTGGAACTTATTGCAGGTAGATCAAAGACCTGCAGTCAGTTTTTTTTTTTCACTATATATTCTCATCTGTGTTAGTAAGATTTGTTATTTCGTTCTTTTCCATGGAAAATCCAAATTTGTTTTGGACATCAGGTGTGGAATTAAAAGTTTAGAATTCCTTATTTTTCTTATGACATTCACTTACATGGTGTTTATTAGGCCTTATTTGATGTGGCTTCAGTGTAAAAACATCCAGCCCATCCTGTAGGATTACTTAATTATACTCAGAAGACCAAGTTTAAAGAGACTCAAGGTCAAACGCTAGCTTTTCCTTTCTGAGGGCCATTGACTGTTGTCTTGAGGGTAATGAGCACATGCAAACACGATCTTTTTATGCTGTTTTATTTCATAGTTTTATCTTTGAAGGTGTTTTAACATCCTAGAGAGACTCAAACTACAAGTTCATTTTAATTGTAACTCCTGTGTAAGAAGCAACTGCAAAGGTGTCAAACACTGGGAGCAGGCGCCATTTGTCCATTTTGGCCTAATAGATGAATTTCCAAAATTATGCCTTCTATTTCTATATTTTTGCTCATAAAGAGGTAAAATAATATTGTTTTTGCTTACAAAAACTATGTGTGAAGGATTTGTGTCTCTGTAGAGCCATTACAATCTGTAAATTACATAAATTATAACAAAACAAACGGAGAATGTGAATCTGCAAAGTTATATTTTTAAAATCACCCTAACTTTTTAAAAGATGTCTCAGTAAATGCTTTACACATTAAATAAGAAGGTTAATTTAATTTAAGTGCTCCGTGACATGATTTTTTTCAAGGGAGTGCGGTAAGGAATGTCTTTCTTTGGACCTCTTTGTTCAACTTTTTAGTGCAAAACAAGTGTATTGTCTCCAGTACAGTATTAAGCATTTACTGGTCCAGCTCACTCTACATCAAATTGGGCTGGATGTGGCCCAAACTGACCCTTTAGGAGGAGGATCTGTTCCCACCCTCTCTTCAAGCTGCCGGGGAAGCTGCTTATCACGAGTATCTTGGTTTACATTGCCCGCGTTAAACCCATTTTTAAGCAAAGACGTTAGATCCAAGGATTTCTCCAAAGGACACATGATGTTCCGAAATTTTTCCTCGCTAATCCAACAGAAGATGGTTTCGATCAGACGGATGTAGGCACATCGAGGACTGATTCCTAGAAGGGAATTTACACCTGGGAACCAACACGAGAAAGAAATGAAACAGTCCGAGTGCAGGAGTTGTCACTGCATGGGAGATACGAGAGGAGGCCGGTGCAGTCAGAGCCATATCAGAGGGCCGGGAGACTGCACCGGAGAGTAGGCCACAGTGTAAACGGCAGTTGAAGTTGAGTAAGTTGAAGTCACGGCGTAATTATAGTACGAGAATGTATAAAACGATCTCCACATCAGACAAGGGTTTCTAGATTAGCGGTCAAATGACTGGATTTGATAGTTTATTTCAATGCAATTGAATGGCATTTCTACTCTTCGCTTTTCCCAATTTTCATTGCAAAATTAAAATAAATTCCAACAATGACTTTAGGCGCAAATATTCCATCTTTGTCAGCAGCTTACTGGACTGCAACTACTCGAGTACTATATGATGTGTATCGCTTCGTTATTGTGAAGTCTTTTCTGTACACTGTTCTGGCTGAAGGACTCGTATATGCTGTGCAGCTGCATGTGATTAACACACATCTTGGCAAAGATTTGTGTTAAGAGTGGCGTGATGATGAACGTTCTCCACCCATGAGGTTTTGTTCAACTTGTGAAATTTAACTTGGAATTTTTTACTTTTAATATGTGTTCAGGATTCTGTTAGATACAAACAAAACACAACTATACGTGACGCACACGAGTAAAGCGCTACGTCACTATAAACGTATAATATTTTTTTTTACTGTTTTTATCTTTTAAAGATAGATTTTAAATCTGCGGAGTACCTGCTAAAAGACTGACCTTTATTAACCATCCGATCTGGATGTTATTAAGACTCATATCAGTATATCTCAAATACAATGGAATATTATCCAATATGATGATTAATCAGTTATTGTACTAAATGAAAACAAAAAGACACCTATTCTAATTGTTGATCTTGTAATTACCAACTTTGCAAAGTGCAAAAAGCTATGTGACTTCATGATTACCAATAATGGGCTGTCCTGTTACTATTAAACGTTCAGCTGCAGGGAATATTGTGTAGTCTTCACAATGAGAAACTAATGATAACCAAAATATCCAGAGTTGAAATTAGCCAAATCAATATATATATATTTGAAATGTATTGATATTCCAGGAATTAAAAGGACAAAAGCAATGAAAATTGTGCAGATAAAATAGGGAATCTTTGTTAGATGTGTGTGTGTGTGGAATGGTGACATATTGAAATATGTCTCAGTATACTCATGTTTTTAAATTAATTCTATTTCAGTACATTGTGAAGAAAACATCATTTTAAAACAACGAAACAGTGTGCTATCTTTTTGTTTTCAGGTGAAAATCTGGTTAAAGAACAGCAGAATGAAGAGAAGAATCAGGAGACTGTGACTACCTGTTCTGAACTGGTGAGGAAGAAGAACTAAAAGACAATCATCTGCAACCTTTGGACACCTATGAGCAGGTGGTAAGAGACAGGGTAATACACAAACCCAGCTAAAGGAAGACCCAGAGCTCATGGTGTTTTTCTCTTGTACCAAAACAGATTTTATTATGTTTGCCATTGAGAAAACCTTTTGGAATGCTTCTCTTAACTTCAGCTTCAAGTCATGTGGTTTCACTGCAAAGCCATTAATGCTCTCTCTGCCTCAGGCCATGTCCTTTGAACACAAGGCCATGTGAGCAAGCATGAAGTTTTATCCATTTTCATTTGAAACAAGCAAAACAAAACAAAATATATGTTTTGAGTTTTCTGTTAATATCTTTTTAAAAATATGTATATTGGATTTTGATGTTATTTTCTTTAAGTTGCTGTTTATCATGATGTTAATGTGTATGCATTCATAAAAAAATGTCCCGCTTAATGCTAATAACTTCAGTTTAGTAGTCAGTACCTCAGTATACTGAAGCTGAATATAAAACCAAATGAATATGAGTCTAAACAATCATCTTTGCATAACGTTTGATGTTTGCCTCTTTGCTATTTCTCCTCTAATCAGCAAAATCAACAGAAGTGCAGTTATATTCCTGGATTTCCTTTATGTACTCGTTTAAGGATGATGAATATGAGGACTATGAGGAAACTGTTGTTGATTAAACATTAAAAAGATTATCATTACCACTGACACATTGTCTAATGTCTAATTCCTCTTTTTTGTCTCGTTTAATGTCGCATATATATTCTTAAATGTAAAATGTAATGAAATAATATTAAATACCCTTGTGACAGGACTGTTTATAGTAACACAGACTTGTTTCTTTTGAAATGGGTTTAGTGGGAGTTGTGACAACCTAGATGTTGATTTGTGACAGTTTAATGACTTAATTTTATAGCTTTAAAGTTTCCAACATCTGTTGTTTATGGGAGACCTGGCCAAGGATGAACAATATTACAAGGTTACAAAATGTGTAAAACAGTTTTAAGTATATTTAAATATTCTGTAAATGTTAAAATTAAAAGAATCACTGGTTAAAGATATTACAGAAAATTACTTCATTAAAAATTGAATTTCTCAGTGTATAACAAAAGCAGTGAACAGAAATAAATAACATCAAGGCAAGTAACACAACATCTAACTTAGGAATGCAAATGTCATTGTTCAGTCACAGAAGTTTGAGATTTGAACTCCAGAGAAACCAAATTATTTAGTGTTAGTATTTCCTGAAGGTTATTCTATGGCTAAGGAGTAATAGAAGAGGATGATGTTCTACCAAGCTCTGAAAAAACCCTGGGTACTCAGAAAAAGGAGCTCGACAACCATACTGGACAATGGATTTAATTGAATTTTAAAAACGCCTGTTGTAACTGAAATGTAAGGCAATCTAAAATACTATACTATATACTATACTATTTAACATTCGACAGCAAAGAGAAGAAGTACTGCATTAAAGAAAATCTGGAAAGAAAAACTTCTCAGACTTCTGTTCTTTGTTCTTTTACACCTTGGTGTGCTGAGTCTGAACAACATGGGACCAGACAGCAGAAACACCCAGTGAGTCCAAGGCTGCTAATGAACCTTGAACCGCAAACAAATCCCAACAAACCACACGGCCACAAACCACCATTTCCTCAACTCGTGACTTTTATTGGGGCAATACAGACAGTCTGCTGCCTCTCGCTTTGTTTGTCTCAAACATTCACCTCATCTGTGTGTGAGTGGGACTGCAAACGGGTGTGTATTTGTGAGTGATGTCTAAAGAAAGACAAAGGAGAGATTGTGTTTCTGGCTGGAAATAAAGACATTAAAGCTAGCTACCCCCAATAAAACTATTTTTGGGGTGTTTTACCTTTGCAAGAACTTGATGCTGTCGTACTAGTAGTTGTTGCAAACTTTTAGTTACATAATATTGAAAATTAAAGGAGTGTAGAAGTAGACTTGCAGGGGCTTTAATAGTCAGTCATTTCATTAAAGAAATAATCAAACAATTCTGAAAAAAGTTCCAACTGGAAACCTTCAAAATCAACATTTCAATTTTTTTTACAATGTGGAATGAAGTTGGTGCGTATTTAATCAACCCATGCAGTATATTACCTTTAAACAAGTCAGTTTAACCTACTCACCAAGTGTCCGAATCAAAAGCCAAAATTTCATTTTTTATGTTTTTAAGCAATTTTGAGCATCGTTATTATGGAATATATCATAGCTCCAACAGGAAAAATAAAAAAATTTAATGTCTATGAGCAAGATATAGAAATAGGTATTGGTGCCTAGGATGTTTTATCTGATGGAGGAAACTTGAAAAGATGCATTTGAGATATATGGCTGGTGAAACAAGTTATAGCATATGAAAGATCATATGAAGATACATTTTGGTACCAGGCTCATCTTTTAGTTGTAGTTGTCCCGTGTCAAATTATTTTTAATATAGTAATATTCTAACACTGACTAAAATGTACAATTCTGTTTTATTCAAAGAATTAAAACCATGATAATAAAAAGAGTGTGTGTAGAAATACATTAGCAATTACTCCGAATCTACTAACAGGGACACTTGAATGAGGTATTTTGCATTTAGTGTCCATTATAATGTTTATAAGACACAACATATAGTTGTTTGCAGAAGCACAAGCAAAGTGTTACCAATACGGGGAACACAAGTAAATAAAAAGATGATGAATGACAAACCAGGGCAGTAATCATGTAAAATATGGCCTGATAGTAATAACAACACTTCACTAATTGTTTTTCTTAATACTCATCTCTAAAACGTTTTGGCATCAGTTTAGGGAAATGCATCGTGGGAAATGGTGCCAACATTGTCCCATCATATCTTACAATCTGTCATATAAATTTAAAGAGCAGCTTGAGTGACTTTTAATTTTTACACAGCAAACACTCTCCATTCTTTTACAGCATCCTCAGACCCCCCACCCCACCCCCGCCCATTAGCAGAGGAGCCGTTAAAACACTGCCATCTAGAGTAAGATACCCTGAATTTCATTCAGGCATTGAGAAGTCTCTCTGGTCCAAATGAGGTTTGAAGTCATTAAATCATAAATTCTGATTCATGTGTTTCTCCATGTCAGTATTTTCATAAAACCACTTAAGAAACAAGATTTTCAGATCTTAAAATCACTTCTGCAGTGATTTATAAATGATTGCTGGGATATTTTGTATAACATAGAGGACTGTTTTGCTCACATACCTCTCTTCATCCTGCTGGAAGTGACTCTCAAAGTGTCTATTTATTTTCAAGACGTTATATTCCAAGCATATAATCTCATTTTATCTGAATATTATTAGCTGTAGTAATTAATTAATTTAGTGAAAGCCTTTGGACCTTCTTTAATTGCAAAGTTTGGAGTCCTTGCAGTGCTTTCAATCAGATTTGTCTCATTCAGCCAGAAGATGGCGCTAGCTGTGCACGATCAAGGTGTAGCCCAAGGGTGTCAAACTCATTTTAGCGAATGGGCCACATAAAGAGCAGTTAGATCTGAAGTAGGGCGAGAAAGTAAAACCTTTACAAAACAGTTTTTATTTAAAAATTAATGAATAAAACTAAAATATCACGATGAAAACATTCACGTGGCTCTTATGATTTTTGAAAAGCTGAAACAATTAAGATACCTCAACCCCTCCCCCACAAAATCTGTTAGACAATAGGAACTTTTACTTATATTCCTTGAGCCTGCAGTCATTAGATGCACAATAACATTTGCTGATCACTGTGGATTTATAAAGACACAAACCTTTACATGTACAGTTTTTGTATTTAACCAACAGTATTATTTGCTATTATTATTTATTATTTCAACAACTTGACTAAATCTAGAGATACTTTTAAATTTCCATCTATTTTCACTCCTGTGTAACGCCACTAGTATTACCCTGGAAATAGCAGTGCAATATATTAAAAATGTTCTTGCAGTTTTCACGCTTTTCACACTTTTTCCGAACTCATAAGTCAGTGGGCCAAAATGAATCCTTACTGTTTACCGTTCCTGGCCTAACCTAGCATATAAGAGCCACAAAGAAAAGCACTTGGAATTTCACTTTTATGCACAAGCACTGCTATATATATAGATCATGACACTGTTTTCCTTCCACTGCTTAAAATGACGGATAAATCAAATGATCTTCTTAGACTTGGTTTATTTAGTAAGAGAACAACAAAAGCACAGCAACAACAAAACACTCGACACTTTAAAATTAGAAAAAAGTAACTAATTTGAGCACAGAACTTGTGAACTGATACAAATCAATTTATGATCTTGGGTAATAGTTCCAGCAAAATAAAGCTGCACGCAATTCAACATGAACTTCAAGGGAGAATCACTCTAAGCTCGAAATGAGTCACGATTCACACAAAGGAAAGCCGAAGCCCATCCCCTCCCGTTTTAATCAGTCCTGTGACAATCTGAGGCTGTGATGACATAATTACTAATAAAGTGTAAGTCATATTTTTGCATTAAATAAGTGCAAAAGGCAGAAGCACCTACGTTCTCTTCAAACGGGCATACGAACGGCCCAATGCTACTTTTTATTCAGCCTCTAAAAAGAGTCCAAGTTTTGTTTTTTTTGTTTTTTATATATATATATATATATATATATATATGTTACATTCATGTCCATCCGCAGTAGGCGTGCTATCACATTTCTGAAAACAAAAGAATGAATTGATTTATCTTCTATACTGGCTAAATACAGTCTAATCATGTGATCCGCAGAGTAACCAATGGGCAGCCGAGGAGAAAGTAAGGGCAGGAAAAAATTACTACCATTTTAGGGGAGGATGTAAGCCACTATACCAGCCCATCTAACGTTTTACAGTCGCATTTAAGTGTCTTTTTATTGAAATAATAAAATAAACATGTCGCTAACGAATTATTATTCCATGATGGGTCTCCAGACCGAGGAGCCTTACGGTGCACATTTCATCCCGGGAGGCTTGCAGGGTTCGACGGCTGGCTGCGCAAAGCCAGGCCGGGGAGCAGAGGAGGAGGAGGGGACCCCCGGCTCACACATCCCGGATTTCTCTCATTTTTCCAACAAACAGTCGAGTTTAAATGGCTTTTCTCCTTGGACAAACACTTCCACTTCTTCTACGTCTTCTTCTCCGCAGCGGCAATCCGCCCCCGGTGCGTCCATCCCCGGCCTTTTTCATCCACATCACCTCCTGAGCCACCACCCCTACTACGGCCCGCAGACTCAGACACACGCCGAACACCTTGCATCCGCGTCGGACAGCAGGTTTGTACGCTGCTGGGAAGGGGCGAGCCCCACCTCGGAGACCGCTCTGTCGCAAGTTTCGGCCACTTTCCCCGCGTGTCTCCCAGCACAGAGTGACCTCTCCAATCCGAGCCCGAGGTATGAGACAATTAAGCCCGAGAGTTCACCCCCGTCACACGACAGTCCTGAAGATTCCAGCTTCGCCAGTCCGGCGGAGGTGGTCCTGGAGCGGCTTGGGACTGTAGAGGAGCTGGGGAGGAAGCCTGAGCCAAAGAAAGAGGACGACGACAGAAAAACACAGCAGCAGCAGCAGCTTGACCCGGGTAAACACAGATACACTAAACTCAGGAATGTTTATTAGCTTTAAGAAGTGGCGATACACAGGTGTGTGTGTGTGTGTGTGTGTGTGTGTGTGTGTGTGTGTGTGTGTGTGTGTGTGTGTGTGTGT